CATCTGACTCAATTATTTTATATGTTTTAATAGTGACTCAATTAATTGCGTCAAATAATTGCGTCAATTGCGTCAAGAATCTACCAATTTCTACCACATATATATTGTAAAAGAGTGTTGTTGATATGTAAGTATTGTAGTTGCTATTAGATGTAGTTCCTGAACATACTATATGGGTTCAGTTAGACGTCGATGTCGTGTAAGCTACATATAACTCTTAGGTTTGTATCCGTGGAAAGTGTGGTCGCAAATTTGCGTCAGAATGTAGATAATGCGAAAAAACTTTTATCCGAGATACTGCCTGATTTGGAAAAAGCGTTGAAAGAAGGGAAATTTGCATATCTTAAGGGTTCCATGAAAAATTCATGTATAACTGACAAAAGAGTAATAACCGAAAAGGCTATACGAAAGATAAATTACGTATTGCCCGGATATTATGATTGATTCTTTTGCTGTAATCCACGGGCATTCATATACATAAATAAAACATATAAAAAATCCAATTATCTTAAAAATTTAAGATAAATAATTTATTACAATTCCTGATTCTATGATTTATTCAAAATTTAGATGAATTAAACTTTTAGAGATTATTTATAATGAATTTTCTAACTTGAATCTTTTTTAAAAAATGTGTTTAGAGATTAAAAACTTAAAGTTTTAAAAGTTATATGTTAAAATTATATTGTTGTCAAAAATGATTTGATATATTTTGTTATTGAAAGATTAATTTTTCAATTTTAAAGTAATTTAAAAAAAAAATCAAAAATATATTTTTAATATTTTTATAATAATTTATATAATATAATTAATAAAAAACACTTTTGAAAAAAAAACTTTGTTTATTCATTAATGATTTTTGATGATTTTTGATGATTTTTGATGATTTTTGATGATTTTTTTAAATATATTTATATTCTATATTTTATACTATATAAGATTTAAGCTTAAAATATAAAAACTTTAAGAATTATTATTATTATTATTATTTTAAAAAACAAACCAGTTATTACATTTTTTATATTTTATTATAATTTTAAACTTGACAAAGTATAATTACAATTTTACTAAAATATTATATATCTTTCTTTATTAAAAAAGATTTAAATATAAAACTTAAATAAATTAATTTACTTATTTATATTTATAGTACTATTTAAAAAATTTATATATAATTTTTAAAATATATATTAAGGTTTTAAATAATATTTAACTATCTAAAAATAATTTGAATATCTAATTATATAAAAGTATTAATTATTTTATATAAGTTAATCTTTAAATTATAATTGATATTAATATATTTGCTTTTCAAATATAATTTGATATATAATAAGCAAAATCAATATAATAACAAATAAGATTTTAAAAAGTATTGAACTGATATCAAAATAGTATTGAATAATATCAATCTATAATAAATTTAAATATTAAATTAATATCAAACAAGTATCAAAATAATACTATTAGGAGCTTTAATAACAAAAATACTAATTTAAAAATATCTAATTATATAAAAGTATTATAATTATTTATACAAATTAGTTTTTAACTTATAAAAAGAATTTGAAATATTATCTTTTAATTATAATAAAAATATTCAATAAATAAAGTTAAATTGAATTTTTTTATAAATATTGATACTTAATCTTATATATAAACTTATATTATTAAGAAATAAATAAGAAACTTTTATAATATTAATTATAGAATATAACTCTTTAGAAATTTAAATAATAATAATTAATTAATAATTTTTTAGATATATATAATTTAATTATAATAAGTAAATAATATTATATATAATAATAATAATCTTATTAATTGTAAAAAAAAAACTCTTTTCCACAAACAACTCCTTTCGTGAAAATTGCCTTTTTAGAAAATCTTCTTTCTTCCAAGAAACTTTGACTAGCGGATTATATTTTTTGGGAGGGAAATATAATCCTAAGGACTGCTATTGAGTAGCAGAGTCCAATAATAGTCTCCAGGAAGGTGATAATA